TTGTGCTAAACTCCTCCGAAACGGCTCAACAAATTTTCATGAAATTTTGTGTGCATATCGGGCAGGTCTGAGAATCGGTCAACATCTATTTTTCATACCTCTTAAAGGTCCACCCAAAAAAATAATTTCCGAGTAATAATATATTTGGGCAAAACAACATTTTCCGCGTCAGCTAATGTAATTAACTATAATAGTATTATCAAGAATCTCTTTACTTCATTCGAAATCTAATAGATTTATTTAATTTAAATAATCTAATACCAAAATAATTAAGTGAAAGGAATCGGGAGACACTATTTTAGATAAATACCTTTACCTACTTTTTTCCTACCTATGCTACTAGCCTTGAGAGGTTATTTCAGCTTTACCCCAGCGTGTAGGTGAGCTCTCGGGGTCTAAACCGGAAGCGTTGCTAACACTGGCCCTAGCAAGAGCAGTGCTTCGCAGAATCTACCACCGGATCGGAAACGCGACCCACTAAGAAGATCCGGCGAGAAACTCAGTGGGCTGTGTCTATGGGTTAATTCATTCGTCGAGCCCTTTGTCGCAAGCGACGGGCTTGACGAAGACGGCACCGTTAATGGATCGGGAGGATCCGTAATGACGTGTTTAGGGCAACGTCGACTGTTTACCATTCGGTCTTAAGGATCGGGTATCAGATTCATGATTTTAACATGTTATTGCGTTTTTTTTTATTGCCTTTGTAGGCAGACGGGCATACGGCCCACCCGATGGTGAGTGGTTACCGTCGCCCATGAACTTCAGCAATGCCAGGGGCAGAGCCAAACCGCTGTCTACTTTTTTTTCCTACTACGTATTGTTTTCTATAATAACGCAATAACACGCTCGTGTGCTGAGCAATTTACTGGTGATAGGAACTCTTGTGAGTCCGCACGGGTGGGTACCACCACCCTCCCTATTTCTGCCGTGAAGCAGTAATGCGTTTCGGTTTGAAGGATGGGGCAGCTGTTGTAACTATACTGAGACCTTAGAACTCATATCTCAAGGTGGGTGGCGGCATTTACGTTGTAGATGTCTATGGGCCCCGGTAACCAATTAACATCAGGTGGGCAGTGAGCTCACCCACCCAGCTAAGCAATAAAAAAAATGGTATCAGTAGTTATAAATATTTTATGAACAGATATGAGTAGAAGGGCTATTTTGATAATATCCTGAAAAGCACTCCACGCTTTTCTATACTAATATTATAAAGAGGAAAGATTTGTTTGTTTGTTTGTTTCGAATAGGCTCCGAAACTACTGGACCGATTTGAAAAATTCTTTTTCCATTAGAAGCCGACATTGTCCCTGATGAACATAGGCTATTTTTTTTAATTTTTTTTTATTTTATTTTTTTGGTTTCATGTGTCTTTTAATGTTTCCGAAGCGAAGCGAGGGCGGGTCGCTAGTGTACAATAAAATCATTTTTCCTTACAGTATTTTTAAATAAAAGTTATTTTCAGTTTTTTTAAACTATTACACATTATTTATTTTTCATTTTTTAGTTGAATTTCAATTTTTCAATTATTATTTTTCTAATATTGAATTGTCATTAATAAGTATGCTAAATTTTGAGTTAATCCGACATTTTGTAAGGGTTCAAAATCATGTTCAAAGATTCTGTTACATACTAACATACATACGTCTGAAGCTAATAAAAGCGTATTAAAAAACGAATACAATTCTTTTGACAATGTAAAAAGTTTTTACACAATTCCCAGGCGTACGTTAAAAAAGTTGCCCGGCGCCAACCGACCTTGGAGTCCGAATATAGAGAAGTTCCCACAACAAGACACTTGTTCGTCCTTTTTCGCATTAATCGGTCTCGGCTTTAGGGAATTGCTGAATCGATATCAGGTTTTCGGGCTTACGTCATTGTGTTCGATACACTCGGTACTTTGCCTTATCTGCGTATTCGGCAATAATTTGCGGCAAAAATCGTCGGTTTCGTCTTTGTAATGTGCAAGAAATTGTTCGCAGACAATTAGGTTGACTTCACTTATGTCTCAAGGTGGGTGGCGCATTTACGTTGTAGATGTCTATGGGCCCCGGTAACCCGGTAAACTAACTCGCCAAAACCGAAGTCAATGTTTCGTTAAGATTTACTAGACGTAACGTTTTGTCTAGATTTAAGAAAAAGTGGCTTTTGGATTTTTTTATTACGACGCCATTGCCTATACTTCTAATTAAATGAAAGAACACGTCACATCGCTAAAATAAACGTAAGCGTTTTCTTGACGTAATAGTATCTCTTTTAGTCTTACGCGATATTTATTGCCTTAAACATATTCTGTAAACTTGTTTATTTCAACTTGTACTTTCCATCAATAGTGTAAAGTATTTTTGCTAAGTGCATAAGGATTGTTTGATCTTTTATCAACGCAAATATAAGATCAGCCCAGTTTGATTGCGAAGTGAGATTGAAATGTCTGTCATATTGGAAAAAGCTATAGTGTAGTTCAAAATGGTTTATATATTAGCTTCAGAGGTAGACAGAAAAAGAGAACTATTTAGCGTACATTTAGTAAATTAAAAAATGAAATTATATAATTACGACAATGTGGATAATCCCAACTTGCATTTCTATGCGCTAATGATGCACCTGTAATTCATATTCAGTTTATAGTCTTAAACTGATTCTAATAATGATTTCAAATCACAAACCTTAACTCATATATTATTACACGGACCGTACCATAAATATTCAAGATGTAAATAAAAACATCAATTATGGAATCAATTAAAAAACAAACCCAGAAAAAAAAAACACGAATAAAAAAAAGCGTCATCAAAGTATTGAAGTGTCGTAGCTAACGAGTCGATCTGAGATAAATACTATAGCTAGCAGCTTGTTACCTTAAGAGATACAGATCTGAAGGCTCTTGGCCCTTATTGCGATAACAATAAAGAATGTTATCGAAAAACACGCGAGACGACACTGGAACATCCGATAAAAAGTCACTATTGTAACTCGATGAAGACTCGATTGGAAACTTTTAACACCACCTATTATATTAAAAAGTAATGAATGTAAAAATGAAGCATTCCGAATGTAAAAATGCCAAAACCAAAGGAGTATTCACATAATTGGCCATAAGTCTAACGACCTAGTTAATAATAATAATTACATTTATTTACTTCACAATACAAATAACTTTTCAATAAATATGACATAAAAATTCTAATTCTAAACAATATTACAATATCGGCCTAATGAAAAGAAATTAATGTATAATATTTTATATCGCATATCAAAGTAAACAAATACATTTAGAATATAAGTACATTATACAAGTGCGAAACAATATTATGCGGCACATCAAAAAGAATATATATATGTAAGTATTTATTTTAAATATTATGACTATATTTTAATTAATTATACTATATATTGACTATATTATAATTTAATTCGTGAATTTGGTAGATTTCTTAATCTGATTTAAGTGAAATCGATAAAAAAATTGAATATTAATGATTTTAAAGGGTTACGGTTTTAAAGACGGGTATTAATTTTAAGAGGTTACACATTACACATTATGAGTTTTGCTAAAAAGCCTCGAAATGCCTATATAATGTGTAAGTAAGTGCCTTCGTAAAATTTCAGTTTTTCTACTGACGCTTAATAGTGATTTTTGTTTTTCATTTAGACAATCTCATTTGGAATTAGAAATCCAATTCAAAAAATTCGATTTCTTATGCAAAAAAGACATTTGAAAAATAAAACAGTTTTTTTAAGATTATCTTCTTCTTTTCAGTCGTATGCACTCTTTGCAGAGTGGTCGTGGTCATCACTTCGGGTGGTGGTGCCCTTCACCAGACATGGCCATTCCTCGCGTACCGCGGCCTTCTCGTGCACTTAAGATTATGGTGAAACTATAGAACCTAAGTTTTACAACAGCTACCCGGTTATCGGAACGCCCACTGAGTTTCTCGTCGGATCTTCTCAGTGGATCGCAATTCCGATCCGGTGGTAGACTGTGAAGCACTGCTTTTGCTAGGGCTAGTGTTAACAAATTCCCTCAGGTTGAGCCCGTGAGCTCACCTACCCGTCCGGGCCTAACTGCAATAGCCCCATAGGCTACCAGCGAATAAGTACTAGAATAGATTCTAGTGCGCACGAGTTAAATGCGAGTTGAACAAATCGTAGGGGTGACAGTTGAAAACTAAAGTGCAGTTAAGCAGGATCGGGACGTACTTTTTTCCTTACATTGTTACCTGTCGGCTAGACCATAAATTCCAGCACTGGAGGTAATAAATTTTATTTTCTAGATGTACCTACTTTAATTTTTATTTATTTCGTTTATATTTATAAAATACCAGATAGCCGGTGTACAAATTCAATAGACCCTTGAAACTTATTTCTCAAGCGCCTAAGCGCTTAATACGACGACTTATCAACTCCCTATGCAATTACAAGAAAAAATAAAAATAAAGATAAGTACTAATAATGTTTCTTCTTTTTTAAGAAGGAAGGATTACTGGTGGCTCAAATGCCTTTCCAGTTTCACCAGGACAGGTAGGCGAGCAAAGGCTCAGGCAGGAGGGGTGGGATTTGCTAACAACTCCCCGAACGCTTCCGAAGGAGACCTGAATACTCAAAGGAATATCATGGGCAGCAATTTTTTACGGATAATTATTATTTATTTATTTTATTAGGCTCACAATATACATCACAAGCTAAGAAGATACACAAAAAAAAAAAAAAAAAAAAAAAAAAAAAACTGGCTTGCAACATAAGTTATGTGCGCACGACAAAACAAGACATATAGTGTTGAATTTGTATAACAACGTTCCTTACAATTACGACAAAATAACACGATAACAGAAACTAATCTAACGTATAATGTAAGGAAAAAATATATATTCACAATATAACTAATACATTAAACAATTACATTAACCTACCTATTAATAACGTGGAGGATGCCCTTGAACATTTTTCTAAACGTAACTAACCTACAAGTAAAAATATCTAACTCAGGTCATTAAGCTACGTACCTGTGAGATTGAGATTGAGATGATGACGGAAGCTGAACGCGAAACTGTCAGCTGTCAAGCCCAAGTCTCATTGTCGAGTCGGCGCTGAAACAATAGAAATAATTGTGTTATTACATTTTAAAATTAATCTCTTCGTCTCGTAAAACCGCTGTGTTTTTTCTCGTCACGCTTCAAGAGACCGTTTTTCCAAATACCTGAATCGCTTAGGTTTAGGCATTTAGGATATATGTAGCGTGTTTTTGTTCGCACGCTTAGATAAATTATAGAGTGCCTTTACTTAGTAGCCTTATGTAATTAATTTTCTAACTCACTAATTACTTATCATATGATCTATCTCACAAATATAGTAATATGGAACTTGTATGTACTATTAACTGGTGAGACAATTTTTAACAAATATAAATCAATTTACGTTTCAAAAATAATTATAGTGTTTCCTTCGGTTTTCAAGAGTCGTATAGGTCCTTTTTGATGATTGCTTCCCAACAGAAATAAGCTGACACAATGCGACCTACCACCAATAATTACGTACTAATTACGTAATCACTTACCATCAGGTGGATGTAATGCTGGTGTACATACAAAGGCACTAAACGAATTAAAAAAAAAACTGAATATTTACATGTCGGCACAAAATGTCATCTGCTTTAAAAGAATTCCAAATTCAATGTGTTATATTATCTATATAAAAACAAACGTTCGAATCCTTTCTAGTCCGTGACGCGGGAAAAAAGTAAGGCACACAAAAAAAAAACTCACTGTCAACAGCATTTTTTTTCCTATCACGAAAACGTGTTCAACATTTGATTAACAAAAGACCGGTAGGCGGGACCTACGCATGGTATCATTGTACCGCTGTCATCACATCTGCATACAAAGGTCTAACGGGTGCATACAAACCGTCATCACCTAGAGTATATATTAGTAACGGTTGAGTTTTTTGAATCCCATTCCATAAGTGTAAGCCGTCGGCAAAAAAATTATTTTGAAATTCAAATTTTACTGTAACACGTTCTCCATAGTATAATTTTTTTTTTTTTAATAAAAATCTTCTGTACTTAAATAAAATTGAGAAGTTATTTCAATAGTATTTATTTTATACTAACTTCATATTTAGCCTCGCACGTATTAATGCAGAATTACAATACACTAGAGGTCCTGCAGTAGTCGAAATTCGACTATAATTAATTGGAATTGTAAGTTTGTACACTATTATGGTTGTATTTTATACTTCTATAATCACAAATTTCGCCAAGACTACACTATAAAAATATTAACAAAGACAAACAATATTTAATCTCAATTTGACAACAGACGTCAAGAACAAAAGTTTGACAATAAATAGTACACATGCATACGTGTGTGCGTCAAATACATGGTATGTAGTGTGTGTAATGTTTTCTTTATTGATTTAAAGTATCTTTTATGCATTATTTAAAAAAAAAATTAGCATTGTGCACTTCTTCTCTATATTCTCTATAAGTGTGGAAAATTTCATACTCCTCCGTCCGCGCAATTTTCGTAAAAAGGGATACAAAGTTTTTGCTTCACGTATTAATACATAGATATACCCGTAGAGAATCGTTTTTTTTTATTAACCACGTCTTTCCTTTCTGCCTTTGTAGTGTGTATACAAATACGATAAACAATTGCGTATTTAAGACGTGAAAGCGTAACAAACTCACTTTCGCGTTTGTAATATCAATTTTCTTATCGTTTTAGTAGGTGGCCGAGCTCACAGCCCATCTGGTGCTTAGTTACTGGAGCCCCTAGACTACTACAACGTAAATTCCGCCACCCACCTCGTAACATGAATTCTAAGATCTCCGTCTTTACAGTACAGTAAATATTGTTGAATTTATAAAAACTTTTGTTGATATATCTTTAATAATTTTAAAGCCTAAGTTTTTTCATGATGACCTCATCAATATTAGACATTCCACTCACGCGTTTTCCCACAAAATGCCAAACGCACAAGTCAGTTCTCGATACGATCTCTTCGCCATTCTATACACGTCTCAGACGATTTGTCACACACATGCCAACCGATGTTTACTTGTGTCGCAATAAATTGGTGTTTTATGACTTTATTGTTGCTATTATCTATATCCAAAGTTCCAAAACCAATATTTTACGAGCCATCTTTAGAATAAGATAAAGTGTTGCTAGTTTGTGGTTAAAGTGGTGGTAGGACCTCTTGTGAGTCCGCACGGGTAGCTACCACCGCCCCGCCTATTTCAGCCGTGAAGCAGTAATGCGTTTCGGTTTGAAGGGTGGAGCAGCCGTTGTAACTATACTGAGACCTTACAAATTATATCTCAAGGTGGGTGGCGCATTTACGTTGTAGATGTCTATGGCCTCCAGTAACCACTTAACACCAGGTGGGCTGTGAGCTCGTCCACACATATAGGCAATAAAAAAAATTAAAAAAAGAGTTTACTGATATTATCCTCAACGAACCGGATGAGCGAGCTTCATACACTGAATTTTCATATTTAATCGTACACTGATACTAGAGAAGGCAATCGGCCTTCTCACGATACGAAATATCTCTGAATCTCACAACATGTGAAATGGCGGTAACAGAATATCAACTGGTTCCAGGAAGTTAGCTGTTGCAACTCGAATATCGTCATAGTACGTGACTCCGCGTATAAAACTCTAAATAGGATACCTACGCTGACTTGGCTAGAGCTCCGATTATTGATATAAAATATCTATAAATATTAGGAAGCATTTCAATTTAGCTTGTGTTTTAACAAGAACTGTTTATCGACTTAATATGCACTTAAATATTGCGGATCTATTGTTTTTATGACTACGACTTAAACATCACAGATTCCAGGCTGATTAATCATTAAGCTAATAAGAAAAACAGCAAAACAACTACTCATAAAGATTTTTTAAATTACAGGCAACCCTATTCCGTGTTTATTACTGTTAGTCAATGACTGCCTTAAGTACCATAGGGAACGGTAGAAACTATAGATGCCCATAGACATCTACAACGTAAATGTAAACAACGTAAATCCACGGTGTTTCCCGAGCGCTATGACATGTCCTTCTTTAAAAGAGGCTTGTGGAGAGTATTAAGCGATAGGCAGCGGCTTGGCTCTGCCCCTGGCATTGCTGAAGTCCATGGGCGACGGTAACCACTCACCATCAGGTGGGCCGTATGCTCGTCTGCCTGCAAGGGCAATAAAAAAAAAAAAAAAAAATGCCGCCACCTACCTTGAGATATGAGTTCTAAGGTCTCAGTATACTTATAGTTACAACTGCTGCCCCACCCTTCAAACCGAAACGCATTACTGCTTCACGGCAGAAATAGACAGGGCGGTGGTTCCAGTAAACTACGCCAACTCCGCCAATTAATCTCATCAACTATGCCAATTCATTTATATTCATTTTTTTGGGTGGCTACATGTGGCTACAGAAATACAACAACACATTGTAATTAGCAAGAATATGATAAAAAACAATTTTACGATTTAATCTCGGCTTCTTTATTGGTTTTATTGGCATCTGAGTTTGGACTTGCCACGACTAATTACATGCCTGCTAACAACTGCTCATCTTAAACGTCCACTTTTAATAGTTTTTATGGTAGCGCATCCTCCATAGATCGTTTTCCTGCTCTGGTAACCACTAACACAAGGGGTCGTCCATCCATCTATACAATAAAAAATAAAAAATCAACACCGAAGGATCTTCAGCTCGGACGCAAGTAGTCGGTTCTCGTCCTTTCGCTGTGAACACCCAAGTCTCTGAAGCAAGAAGCTAGTATTCTACCATCGCTAAATATTCATCTTCTAACAAATATCATACAAGGCATACGTTGAAACGAAAACAGTTTTCTTTATTCTACGTTATGGCATCATCTTTGTGAGTCAGTTTCCGGCTAACTACATATTCTTAGCCACAAGCGTGTGTACTCAAGTGAACTTGTGTGTAAGTATGTGATTATTATGATACATTAATACGTGAAGCAAAAACTTTGTATCCCTTTTTACGAAAATTGCGCGGACGGAGGAGTATGAAATTTTCCACACTTATAGAGAATATAGAAAAGAAGTGCACAATGCTAATATTTTTTTAAGACAATGCATAAAAGATACATTAAACCAATAAAGAAAACATTACACACACTACATACCATGTATTTGACGCACATTTAGTACGCATGCAAACTATTTATTGTCAAACTTTTGTTCTTGACGTCTGTGGTCAAATTGAGAATAGATTAAATATTGTTTGTCTTTATTAATATTTTTTTATAGTGTGGCCTTGGGGAAATTTGTGATTATAGAAGTATAAATTACAATCATAATAGTGTACAAACTTACAATTCCAATTAATTATATTCGAATTTTGACTACTGCGGGACCTCTAGTTATGATAAAATGTAAAAACCGGGACTTAATCACACAATAGCGTATCATTCTCATTGCTGGATACTATGAAACGCTTTGTGATAATTATAAAACGAATTTAAAGTTTAAATCCATTAATTATTTTGATCTGATCTTATAGCTCAAAAATATCATTTTGTCCATTAGTTTCTTAAAACTGAAGGCGTGACAACACCCTCTCGCGACAAACAGCTACCTTGAAGTTTCTAGATTAGGAGCTTCAAGCTCGGGACAACTCAACCATGAGGAAATCCAAACCTTCAAACGCTTGAAACCAGGCAAAAAGCCTATTAACACGATTAGACATGTTCGTATTAGACATTACGTAGAGGTCAGACGACAATGGCTTTGCAAAAGTAATTACAAGTCAAAATAGATTCAAAGTTGTATATTTGTGTCAAAACCATGCATTTGGAATAAAGTAGCGGTAAATAGAATGAAGAAGTGTTACAATGGTGTAGAGAAACTTTAAAAATCTAATTGTGCACCATGCGTACTTTATGTACCTATTGTTTCATAAAGCGCTGTCTGGTATTAACTTGATTTTACTGAATTGCTATTATATTAAAATATACTAGTGGTCCCGCAATAGTCGAAATTCGACTATAATTAATTGAAATTATAAGTTTGAACATTATTATGATTCTATAATCACAGATTTCGCCAAGACTATAT